CTTTTAATTGCGTAAATACTTCACTACTCGACAAAGAGCTTCCCAGCCGGGCGGAGAACTGTTCGAGTCAACGGTTCTACCAACCAGGATTTACAGCGCTGAATTTTGAAGACAAAAACAAAGAACAACAAATTGATGGTCAAGTCAAGAGAAGTGAGACGAAAAATCTCCTTGGTGCAAGATCTCCGTCCGGCATCGCGTTCTGTTCTGTGCGCACAAATTCCAGAGCAGACTGGATTAGCTACCAGAAGTGGTTTCTGCCTTCTACGATGGCATTAAGAGACGGACGGACCGGACACGTGGCTCGGCTGAGAGACAACCGGTCGGTGTCAAGAATTTCAAACCTGGTTCTGCTTGACGAACAAATTTGAGTCAATCGTCCAAGAACACGTTGGAACGATCAGATTGTCAATTACTTGGTCAGCAGAGGAGTCAGAAAACGGATAGTTAACAGCTGCTAATATCAAAATGCGACACGTGGAGATGAACGGATTTCACAAGCCTAAAGCAGCTTGCAGGGTGCTAAAGATGATGACAAGAAAACAACAACAGCAGAAAGCGGAGAGTAAACAATTATGGAGGAGCTTCGACACATTCATAACGAGGAAATGTCAGTTTACGGATTTCAAAACTGAATTTCCTGGAGCCTTAACCCTTAATTAGGGAACCAATCAACCAAGGCACACGTCCATGGCATTTAAATACATGTAGTGCGTCGATTCAAATGTCATAATTTTGCAAGTTGCTAAAGTAACCTCATGCTGATGATGAATGGCACTTCTTACACGATGCAGCGTAAACATGAAAATATAAGTTCGTAGTACATGAACTGGCACATTACTCTCGCAATAACAGATTTCAAGGTCTTTAACTCCACCGTTTGCTACTATACCGAATGCCTTCAAGCATTTGAGAATGTCACATCTCTACGAGGTTTGAGTATCAGTAATGCTAGATACATCTTGTGTCACATTTTCATTTTTATTGCTACAGATCTTTTCGAAAAGTCGGTACTTTTTACATCCTATCGCCCAAACATTATAACTGTGTAGTCACTTGTCCGTGTGAGTAAACAAGTCATTGAGTCCTCTAAAACCGTTACGTCTAAGCAGCACATAACATGATACACTAACATATATTCTGTTCAAACTGTCGCATAAACGAAGTACATCGGATTGCGAATCTTCTACGCACTCTGTGTATAAAACAATACTATTTACGTTATACACCGCCCTATCACAATGTAACAGAATGCATATAATAGAAAGCTTTAAGGAATACTGTTACAAGGAAGTTAACACTGCCACCGCTGCAGCATGTGTAACCTAATCGCCCCAAAATTCAGTTTGTTGTATCATGGCATCTGCAGTGTACATATAAAGGACATACTGAAAAATGAAAGCCATACTTAACGCCGTCAGCTGAAATATACATCTTGTAAAAGATATCAATATGCGAAAGATATTTATAAATATCTTATAAACGTAAGATCTTTCACTACAAGAACTGTTCTACTCAACGATTCCTAGTATATACATAGCATACAATATGTCACCATAATTTTATGCATATCCGACAGCTGGTCATCAACTACGGATATGTGGCGCTGTGATATGGATCCTTATCCAGAAAAATGTAACGCGCTTGATTCCATTGAACAAACGCGTGGGCGCAAAATACTTGACTACGGAACAATTGACAATATTCCGAATGTTAAATTACTGGAGGACTAGGAACGTCATTCTGGAATACTCGAACAGGAAACAATACCTGCGTTTCGTCTGACCAAATAAAGAAAATAAAACTTTTTCTCTACATCAAACAACGGTGAGTGTGGCGTGCTTCCTTGATAAAATGAAGTTGTATCGTGTGAGGGAAATCTTCCTTCTTTTCCGGTCTCTATATCTATAACCGCTGCGATATTGCAAAGGACTTGTAACGTGCTCGTCAAATGTATCATCAGAACCGGCTGGAAATCGACGATGAATAATGCCGGTGGCAATATGCTTGGCAATTCTCGTGGTTTCCAGCCTTATTCCTCTAAGCGCTGCCTTCCGGGCTCTTGATATAATTTTCCCACAGTCGTCATGGTTTATTCCACTCGAAAGGGCATCAGTCGACGACCATCTCCCGGCAGTGAGTCAAACTACATGTCTAGCCTACTACAGCTTCCAAGTTCTGCTTTCGACTACGACGTCCTTCGCTCCCGTCCTCTGTTTAGCCACCGGATCGAGAATGCGGTCGCGAGGTGAGATTCCCAACATTCTTTTTTGAGTGATACTCCCGGCGACAGATAGATGACAGTGTTGTTCTTCGGCTTTCGTCAGTGATCATGTCTCACAGCCATGTAACACTGCCGGCAGGACGGTAGAATTAAAGAGATGGGTGTGGATATCTTTCCAGACGTTGTCAAGAAGGATGTCCTTGATGCAATGGATGCGCACTAACCGGCCCCTGTTCTCAGTTCAAAAACTCCTTCGCACCGATCTCAAGACAGGATGAGAAAAGTAGAAGATTGGGGACTGTCCCCCGTTTCTGGTAAAACTTATTCACCTGCTCACCATGGTTCTGCCGTTATCAAACGCTATACCGGCTCGGTCATCTCCTTGGGTACCAAGAGCCGCAAAGTCTGATAGGGGAACTAAGCCACACTGCAAAACGTCGGCGATCAGATCCTGCTTCGCGACTTCTGGCATCTGCGGACATAACAGCACAATGGCAACTGCCGCCGAATAAGGACTTAAAGATGACAAAGACACCGGTCAGCAACGGAGCCGCAAGCTGTTCTACTCGGAGGTCATCACAGCGCGTCAGATTAGGTTCCAGCGGACGATACCGACAGCTGGAGTTCAGAATCGGAAATTTTAACACGTCTTCGATCAAAAGAAAAGATCAACAGTTAGCTGATGGGTACCAACTCAACATAGTTGGACACTCGTCAGCGAAGCGCCAGGGCTCTGGAATTCTGAACCACCGCGGGTTGAAGCTATCCTACTGCTTTGCAATCATTAAATGGAAGCCTGCCAGCGGAAGTGTGGCAATCCTCCGACTGAAGCCACAACACGCTAAAACGTTGACCTTGATACAGGTCTATGCGCCCAATTTGGAGGGAGAATATGAGACCTTCCTTGAGGAAGTGCAGTGTGCTCTGTCCGAAATGCCGACAAAGGGCTCCATCATTCTCATGGGCAATTTTAATGTGCATGTCCGAGTAGTCGCTGAAAAGTAGAACGGCGTGACTGGAAAGAATGGCACCGACGACCTCAACAGTAATGGTATGAGGTTGTTGCGTTTGATGAAAGCAACGGACTGTCCATTACGAACACCATCATTTTCGACCACGTAAGTATGCATCGATATACTTGATACCGGTAAGCTTCTACACAGAAGTCAATGATCAATTTGATAATGGATAAGACGCTCTGTAACGGATGTTCGTGCTAAGAGAGGCGCAGAGCTATCAACCGATCATCTCCATGGTGTTGGCACCTTCCGTCAGAAACGATGGGCTACCATGCGGAAACCGGAAAGCAACACTGATAAACAACGTTCCACGACGGTTAGAACTCATTCCACCGAAGAAAACCAGGGTGGACGTGGAAACCGGGTGAAAACACTTTAAAGTCACTTATTCGGGTCTGCGGCTAAACGATGTGGTCTAAAAGTGGTTCCCTTGCCGCCTGTGGCTTAAAGGCGAACTTCTTGGCAGACATCACAGTTGCAATTGGACGCCGGCGAGAAGATGGTTAAATTTAAGAGGTGGATTGGAAGCGAAGAGCATTCCATTCGAATGCAGTATGAGGTAACATGCAAGGAGCAGTGAAACAAGTGGCGGAAACGAAATCTGTTACCTCGGAAAAGTTCAGTGAGGTGTTGGAATCGAATTTCCAAATGACAAGCAAGATGGTCTGTCATGCCATTCGTTGCCCCAAGGTGTAAAAAAAGAAATCGACGAGTCCTGAAGAACAAATACGGATGCACTCGTACCAAAAACGAGGACATACTTTGCGAAATTCTTTAACGTCGAGCAACTGCAGGAAGACAGATCTAAAAAGCATCAGGCAATAGATATAAGCCTTTCACTAGATGAAATCATGGAATCTGTTAGAAGCTTAGTGACAAGGCTGGCGGAATGGATGGAATCTGCCCAGAAAGGCTTGAAGCTCTAACCCAGGGGTAAATTACCCCAAGTGGGGTAAAAATAAAATTCTTGGGGGTAATGAATACTCAGTAGACATAAATAAAATCACATAAAAACGCGTTCCTTGTTAGGACAGGAATTTTTCTTCTGACAACACTGTGGCGAATGTAATAGACGTGTTTAGGAGACGTCACGCAATGTTGAACTCCAAACAATATGGCTGCTAAGGCGTTGTCAAGTGGTTAACCAGATATTATTTGTCAGTTGTCTATTACTCGCCATAACCTTATCTTTTGACATATGTGGTTTTGATTTAAGTCGATTTAAGAAGTTATTTAATTTAATTTATTTCAATAGTTCTATTTTAAGTCTAAGATTTTCGTTTATTAACCATATTTAGTTGTACGTTATTTGGATAATATGATTAATATGTTTTCTCCTTCCTCGATTAATTTTCGATGGTGAATAAATAATTAAATACTGCCTTCATCTTGAGGACATGTCTTTGCACCACGTTAACCAATTAAATTGTTGCAAATTTAAATGAACATTAAAAATCTTAAACGCCGGCAGAGTTCGCAGATTCGCATATAACCATCTGTAATGACGGTTGCCAATGAAATTGTTTGGTTAGAATCCAAATTGCTCTGACGTCAAAATGCCAGAATTTTGATGTTATTGTATCAAAAATGAAACAACATCGTCTGTCCAAAACCTGAAGTGAAAAAGTTTTCAAAGAAATCCTTTTGTTTCATGTTGAGAACTAATTTATTCTATCGCATTTATTTTATACTTCTAATATTTATAATCGTATTCTCCATATAAACAGATTCAATAAACCTTTCGAATTTAAATAGTCTATGATTTTCTCCCTTTCAAGTTAAGCGGGTAACGTTGGCGTATATAATTATATTTTGGGGTAATAGGTAAAGAAGTTCCTTGATTCCTTGACCCCTGCTCTAGCCGAACGAGGCATATTATAGCTATACATGTCTGTCAAACTGTAATGGTTACCGGGAAGACACCAATGAACTGAAGAACTGGGATTGTAGTATTCCCGTTCAAGTTTTACAATTATTGGGGCATTGCCTCCTTTACGGTCCCGGGAAAAGTCTGCCCAGTGTCGTTAAAAAGGAGGTAACGGGGAATAACTGAGTCTAAGATACAAGAAAACCAGCGCGGTTTCAAGAAAGGTCGAGCACCTCTGGCCAGGCCTTTGCTTTACGCAATATTGTTGAGAAATCCTAGGAGTTCGCTCGTCCGGTCTGCACGTGCTTTGTGGACCTAGCGAAAGCCTATGACCGAATTCCGTGCAAAAAGCCATGGGGTGCCTGTTGACTGTCATCGATGACCAGTTTTTCTGAGCCATCGAGTAGCTGTATTTTGATAATAGGTGTTTCCTCAGAATAAACGGTGTCAAGTCGAGACAATTTAACGTCGGTACTGGCTTCTTTCGTCAAGGCTGCATTCTGTCCCCTCGCGTATTTGTGTTACACAAGGACAGGAGAGTCAGGCTTAGCCACGTCGAGGAGTGTATCAGCGTAGGAGATGTGGAGACGAGACCTCTGCGGTTTGTAGATGACTCTGTTTTGTTGCCCTCCCCAGAAATGTATCCAGAGGGTTCCCTGGAAAAGCTCGCAGCCGAGTGTGACCTGGCCGGCACGTCTATGAATCCGTCTAAAACGACAGGAAAAGCCTAGCATGTTTACTTTGTCCGGGCGGCTGCATTTCACAGATCAGCGGAGAAACAGTAAAACAGGTGGTGAAGTTTACGTACCTCGAGATCGTGTTAACCTGTTATGGAAAATGGAAGGAAG